GGGGGGTTGGGGAGCGTTTCTTCCCATGTATTTCCATCTACCTGTACTTCAGCAATTAATTTTTTATAAAAAAATACCCAGAAGTGTCAAAAAAAGCTGCATTTTTTCCCCCCTTAAAGTATTGGGCAAAATTCAAATAAATTCAAAGTAGTGGCATGTTCTGCTGCTGTGGCTGACTTTATTTGGCTTTCACAGGTTTTAAGAGTTTGAGGTTTATGTTAAAAGCCAAATGGAATTCTACCCACAGCTATATGTTGACATGTGCAATCTCTCACTACAAAATGAGAAGTTTAAAAAAAAAGCATACTGATATTATTTATTTTTTTCTTAGAAACAAATATTCAGTATAATTTACGCTGTAAGCACATAGGACAGAGCTAAACTAAAGACTACAGCTATAGCTTTCTGTTTCCTCTGACAGTTAACTTCCCAGATTTTTATGTGCTACTCATGATTATTTTCATGGAAGAAAAAAATTCTGCCAAGCAGTTGTAAATCATATAGAATGGTTTGGGTTGGAAGGGATCTTTAAAGATCATCTAGTCCAACTCCCTGCCATGGGCAGGGACACCTTCCACCAGACCAGGTTGCTCAAAGTCCCATCCAACCTGGCCTTGAACACTTCCAGGGATGGGGCAGCCACAGCTTCTCTGGGCAACCTGTGCCACTGCCTCACCACCCTCATCACAAAAAAAAAAAAAGAATTCTTCCTAATACCCAGTTTAATTCTATGCTCATTCCGTTTAAAACCGTTGTCCCTTGTCCTGTCACTACAGGCCTCGGTAAAAAGCCTCCCTTATTCTCAAAAGCCCCCTTTAATATATTGAAAGGTCACAATAAGGTCTCCTCGGAGCCTTAATCTTCTGATATCTGCCCAACACGGCAGCAAGATTTCCTACCTCCTATCATATGCTTTTAAAGCAAATGGAGTATATTCTGCAATTATGTGCTAAGATCTCACTACCTTTAAGCATGCAAATAGTTCTAATGAAATTAATAGGATACAGAATAAAAATAAACTCATTCAAGTCTAAAATTTTTCAGAAGCCTCAGAAAAGCATCTATTCTGCATTATGGTTCTCAATGAGCAATCATGGTGATCAAAGAAAGATGGTAAACAATTGCTTTAAAAGCATTTTCTTGTTGTACTTGAATTCTAACTACCAACCTACAATATTTTTATTTGAACACACAGAGGAAGGATTTGCTGTTCTTTTGAAAACAAACACCCAACTCAAAAAAAGTTTCGTACAAACTAAGAAAAAAAAATGCAAGTGAACAAACTTGTCAGTACGCAAACAAGGAATTTGAAGAAAAAAAAATTTGCTATAAGCAATTAGAGAGGAAGGACTGGATGGAAACTGTAATCCAAGCTCAACTGTAGTTGATGTTCCCAACAGATACTAGTAGATTACTCAGTTTTAAGATAAATTTTGTATTCCTCATTGCATAGGAAAGCTGGTTGACACTGTAAATTATAAAACAAGTACATGAATGTCTATGAGCAAAATATTATGTTATCAAACAGTATTCCATTCCACACTTACGCAGGATTAGCAGAAAAAACAGTTTCAATAATTTTCACTTTTTTCAAAGGAAGTGCCAAAATTGAAAGAGTTGAACCGGATCGTTTTTCCGTAGTGCTTAAGCTACATTTATCAGAACTTTCGGTACTTCTGAAATATTCATGTAGCTGAACTACATTTAAAAAATATGCCTTGGCTACTATTTCAAAATCTACAGAATTACTCTCAATCTTTCTTTAAAATAATTATTTTAGGAATTTTATACAAGAGAACGAGTGAGAATTCCTCTAAAATACAAACAGTTAATCCAATGACCCATGTACATGACTCAAGAGCTAGGTGCTGACTGCATGAATGTGGACTGTAGTTTCTGCCTGCGTCCATCAGCATTTGAACATTCTCCAATGGTCTCTAACTTTCATTGCACATACATGCTACAACAGAACTGCAGAGTATTTCCCTGGGGGCTCAAGACTTATTGCCTGCAAAAAAAACAACCAACCAACCTAAAAAAAAACCCAAGCAGGCAAAAGAAAAGAAAATAAAAACCTCCAAACAAACAAACAAAAAACCCCACAAAAAGCATATCTGCAGTACAGTTTTTGGAGTCATCACATATGCATAATAGGTTTATCGTGCAATCTAGACTAAGACAGAAAGGATAACACTTTTTTCCTCAAAATTCACATCATTTTTGCAATATTCAAACGGAGGTGTTTTGGTTTTTTTCTAGTTACAGACACCTTCCGCAAATAAAATCTTTTTTTTTTTTTTTAAATTAGTATATTTAGGATGCATAAGCATAATTCTGTTTTGAGATAAGCATTTCCAGAAACAGAAAATACTTCTGACTGACCTTTACGTTGCCTTTAAACACATCTGTTTCCCAGGATAAGCCAAGTGTCCCAGTAAGAGGCAAGTGCTTCGTACTATCCTTTAAGTTTACAACTGTGAGCTTCAAATATCCATTTGCAATGTCACCTGAAAATAGCAACAATATATAACATTATACTACTACAAATCAAACTAAGCCCAAGTACGCTGTAAATGTTCTCTCTGCTTCTCTCCATGTCTTTAGTTTCCTCCCACTCACCAGTAAGGAACCCTGACGTACACCAACAGCTACTTATCAACAACATCATAGAGAATTTAAGTCATAGTTCAGGGCTCTGATTCTGTGATCCACAGTAGAAGCAGCAGCTAAAAAAAAATTTGGTATATTTGAGTATAAAAATCTGAATGTCACCTAAATGGCTTATATGAGGATGCAAGGAGTAAATTCCATGTTCAATATTTCAATTTCATGCCACCAGTGCCTCCATCACCGCCCACTCCCCAAAAGTCAAGCTAAAACACAGCACATGAAATAAATTATGAGATACCCCCTTTTTTTAAAAAAAAAAAAAAAAAAATCTGAAGACAGAAGAAGCAACATCAGAAAGGCTGGTTTTGAGTTAAAAAACTAAAGTCTGTGTGAAGGAGCAGCAAAAGCCTTTGCCTGGTGGTTGCTGCAGGCGGACAGCTGGAGGCAAGGTGACAGAGAAAGTGAGCCCACACTTTACCACAGAAGCCAGAAACTTCCCTGGATTGGTACTGTGGGGCTAAGCAACTCCCAAGAGATGCTTGGCCACAAACCAATGCTGGAAAGACATCAGTCAAGCAGGGAGTCCAACAAATACTTACTGTGTGGAGGCAGCAGCCCAACACATGAGAAAGGACAGAAGCAGCAGGTTTTTCAGTATAAACACTGTCTGGAATAGGAGCGTGATTACAGTGAAACCAACATGACTATGCCCAGGAAATATTTTGTATGGTTGAAGGAAAATGCATCACTCCAGACAGTGATACCCACTGTCCTTGCAGTGAAGTCCCAGAGAACTCAGTGAGGAAAATGCAAGCAGAATTCACTTTCAGGATCCAGCTCAAAGTGCACAAAAAGGCTATTAAGTTGATACCTACCCAAATGGTTCAATTCCAAACCTCAGTAAATCAAATCCAATGACAAGATTTCATTCAAGATAAAGACATTTTAGATAAATAGTCAAGCTTCACTGAGTGAACATTGAAAGCCTGCATTTCAAGTTGAGCTTTTATACAAGAGACTTTAAACAGCATCAGTCAACAAGCATTTTTTCCAAAGGATTATTCAGTTACCTGCAATCCAGATTTGAATGGAAGCAGCTATTCCTCTCACTCAAAACAAATGAAAATTGTAATGGAGTAAAATCAGATTGAAAAAAGCATTCTGCTAACAAATTACTGAAGCCCAGGACATCACTACTATTGCATGACATTAATCACATGAACTGCTGCAGTGCTAGATAGGTCACCTGGCTAAAGGTGCAAGTTATAAATCCATCCCCTACTGTAGTTAACTTCTTAACTTTCAGCCGGACTAGAAATAGGTGACACAGTTCAGGAAATTGAAGGCTAATCATTCATGGGTTAGTTAATCCAGTCTTTATGGTTTATTTTTTTTTAATATAAAAGCTCCATTGCAGTCCTTATACCCAAAAGAAAGAAAAAGCATGCTCAGAAATTAGCAAGAAGCTGAAGTGCTAAGTACTGAAATCTCCCCTTCCTCATCCCAGTCAGATGAGAAAAGGAAATTAAAGGGCAGAGCAAGCTATGTTGAACATACCAAGGGCAACACAGATGCAGCAAATTGGACAGGGCTTTCTTTGGCCTGATCCAGAATTTGTTTCATTGTCCCCTTATAATATCTCCAGTCCAGAGTTTACGCAAGACACATATAGCAGTAAAGCAGGCCTTTAATCAATATAGGTTATAGGGAATTTCCAAATAAAGGGAATACCAATATAGAGAACATGTATCATGTAGACAAACCTCAGGGGAAAGAAACAAATAGCCCAGTAGTTCAAAGGCACTTAGCTAAAAGCCAAGTGAGTTTGTTTTGCTAACCAAACCTTTGTTGCAAGTTGTAATTTGACTGTTATTTTCACAGGGAAGGTTGTGCTTAACACTCATTCTAGTGGCAACAACCAGCCTTACCATGCTGAAATGGTCATTTGAACTTGCAAATCAGTCTCCAAGGTCAAGCAAAACCATTTTGAATACCTGATGTGATATTTTACAAACAAATCTTAAAAGCCCTCTAAACACACAGAAATCAGCCCATTATACTTTGCAAGCACAACATATCAGCTTGCAACAAGGAAAAACATTGCAAAGACAAAGCTCAGACTAGCACACAGCTACAAAGCTATGCTTAAAAAGTTGAAAACCTAGGTAAATACATTTCAATAATGTTTATTTAAAAGCTAGATGTAGTATTCATGGCTTCTATGAGTCATACGAAAAGCCTGTCACAGCTTCCTGAAAACAAGAAAAGTTTCCTAATACTTCAATTCAATTTGAAAGTATTTAGCATATTTACCCTACAGTATCTGTCAACAGGACCATATTACCAATTCTATTTAAATGGAAGGAAACATAAAATAAAATCCTAAAAACCAGCCAAAACTAAGTGGTAAAGCAGCTAGTTACTGCAGTGCAAGTATTAATAACAGAAAAAGAAAAAAAATCTGAAGCCATATATACTCTATCCATTTGGTTCAATGAAGTATGATACAACTTCTTTAATTTAATGTTAAAAGTTTTAGCAGAAAGAATTGAAAATAGAGCAGCAAAACGAAGTATAACATTAATGGACACTAACAAAAATCAGACAAAAATAAAACTAAATGTGAACAAATAATCCATTATGCTGCAGAAAAACAAATGGGCATTCCCTGGTAACCTAGGAGCATCTACAGTTTCCTAATGGAAACAGATAAATAAGTAAAACCCCAGTATAATAGCTGACAACTGATGTGTTGGCATGTCACATCCGTAATTAAAATAAACCTGGATTGGGCAGAGAATGTTAAGAAACAGCAAGACTTCTCACTATATCAGAGACCACCATGCTTCAGAGCCCTCCCAGAGAACGGGACAAAAAGTATCATTAGAACGGAGCCTAAAAACAAAGCGCAAACTATCAAATACAACCAGTTTGGACAAACCTACCACTGTTGGCCGCATTCAGAAATACCATGTTTACCAGAAAGAGCAAAGTGAGTAACAAAGCTGCCTCCCTACATCATTTCTGAACATAAGTCATGGAGAAAATCAAGCATTTTCCAAAAGGAATTATTGTGCAAGTACATGGAAGGGGCTAGACGACAAATAAGCTTACTGCCTGCAGAACCATGGCTTCAGCTGGCTCACGTCCTGTGAGAGCAGAATCTAGCTGTTGTCACATAGTTTGAGGACACAAAACCAAAACAGTTCAGAAAACACTCATGATCATAAAACAGATTCTCTGACTGGCAAAGTGTGATGGCACAACTGTAGCTCCTGGACATGTGCTACAATTTGCATAAACATCGGCTTAATCTTTAACAGAAGTAGCTTCTAAGCGGCAAAAAAGTGATACCAACAAAGACAGTGTGCCACATACTGCTTTCTCTTGTATAGCTGTATTGCTAGGAGCATAAAATTTTCATTATAGGAAACAAAACATGACATTCACCTAAAAAAAAAACAACCCACAACCCACACAAACAGAAACCTCAAAACCCAACCCTCTGGCCATATTACAGAAGAATTTTTTTAATTTTTTTTGGAGAATTTAAAGAGTCCTGTATTGAAAGGCACCTCAGGAGGAATTTCTGTTGCTACATGGACAGAATTTCACTTAAGTTTTACCCTTATGAGTATTACTTTATTTCAAGCTTGGAGCTTTTTGGGAATCTGAAAACATGGATGTGACAAATTCATAGGACTACAACACTCCACACTGTGCACAAGGCTACAGTGTAAACGAGAGTTCTTGGGGTCATCAAATACAAATTTAAAAAAAAAAAAAAAGTCATGGGGAAATTTGTTCTAACACTGTATAAGCGTTCAAGCCTGCTAACAGCGCCCTCTACTGTCTTCAGCAAAAATAGTCTTTTCTCAAATCAACAGAAGGCTTATTTATTAGTACTCTTCACAGAAAAATTCTGGGGAGCAATAATTAATTTACAATGTTTAACTTTGATTGTTTAATTTCAGGTTTATTATTTTAATCTGTTTCTGCCATCAGAAAGGCAGCTGTGTAGCTGTAGGCAAGGTTGTGTCGAAGTTAAGTCGGAAGAGAGATCACCCATATATTTTGCAAAACCCTAGTACAATTATTAAGTTGGGCTGTACATGAACAAGGATAGCCAATCATGTCTCATTAAAAGAAATGCTAAAAACTGAAAAGAAAAGCAGCACAGTTAAAAGCAATCGTTGAAATTGTTTATTACACAATGAAAGGATGTCAGAATAGGCAACTGGAAGTTGACCTAAATAAAAGCTATAAATCTTTACGTTCACAGTATCTTCAACAAATATATTTTAATATTTAGTCTGTCAATGCACCTAAAGTATACTTAAGAAGAATGCTACAGAAATACATCTCCAAAACGTATGAGGACAAACTCACTCTCCTTTATAGTTTAAAAGAGGAAGGTATATCAACCTGCACCAGAAGCTGTGCCACTGCATTATTAACTCGGCACTGAACCAAACAAAAATACAAAAAAACCCTGACGATCTGTGGAACTCAGATCTCAGGCCTGCCACTATGCCAATGTAAGAGCAGGCAGACTTCATACCAAACAAGCTTACGACACCACACAACGCACCACGCAAATATGAAGAAATGACACAACGAACAAAAAGATAGCTTACGCTTAAAAATCCATTTCAGTTTCTCCCCTTGAAACAGAGATATTGGATATAAAAGGGAAAACATAACAGCAAGGATCACTTTTAAAACAGACATCACTGTTCAGTAAATTCTACCTTTTCTGCAGAAGAGGCTCTTGAAAGTTCCACACAGGTAGGTGCAGCTTCCACCGTGCATATCAAGATGTAGATCGTAGTTATGCAGTCCATATTCTGGGTCAATATCATCTAATACAGGTTTATGAGGTGGAAGGGCATATTGACTTTCAAAAAAATAACAATAATAGAATTAAGCAAGGGGGAATGACTTAACAGAAAGAGATAAACAGCCCTACACTAAGACTATCATCTTAGGAGAGGTTACAAGAGGGGGAAAAATTATTATAAGATACAACTTTTCTTCTTTGTTAATGCTTTTGAAAAATCACAGAATCACAGAAGGGTTGGGGTTGGAAGGGACCTCTGGAGATCACCTGGTCCAACCCCCCTGCCAAAGCAGGATCACCTACACCAAGTTGCACAGGATTACGTCCAGACGGGTTTTGAATATCTCCAGAGCAGGAGACTCCACAACCTCTCTGGGCAGCCTGTGCTGGCGCTCTGCCACCCTCAAAGCACAGAAGTTCTTCCTCATGTTCAGGTGGAAATTCCTGAGTTTCAGTTTGTGCCCGTTGCCCCTTCACCTGTCGCTGGGCACCACTGAAAAGAGCCTCGCCCCATCCTCTTGACACCCACCCTTAAGGTATTTATAAGCATTGATGAGATCCTCTCTCTGTCTTCTCTTCTCCAGGCTGAACAGACCCAGTTCCCTCAGCCTTTCCTCATCAGGGAGATGCTCCAGTCCCCTCATCACCTTCATTGCCCTCCGCTGGACTCTCTCCAGTAGTTCCTTGTCTTTCTTGAACTGGGGAGCCCAGAATTGGACACAGCATTCCAGGTGTGGCCTCCCCAGGGCAGAGTAGAGGGGGAGGAGAACCTCCCTTGACCTGCTGGCCACACTCTTCCTCATGAACCCCAAAGTACCATTGGCCTTCTTGGACACGAGGGTACATGGCTGGCTCATGATCAGCTTGTTGTCTCCCAGCACTCCCAGGTCCTTCTCCTTCTGTCCCTTCATCCAAGTCACTTATGAGTAAATTGAACAAGACCAGACCCAGAACTGACCCCTGGGGAACACCACCAGCTACAGGCCTCCAACCAGCACAACCCTCTGGGCTCTGCCATCCAGCCAGCTCTCAATCCACCTCACTGTCCACTCATCCAGCCCACACTTCCTGACCTTTCCTATGAGGATGTTACGGGAGACAGTGTCAAAAGCCTTGCTGAAGTCAAGGTAGACAACGTCCACAGCTCTCCCCTCATCTACCCAGCCAGTCATGCCATTGTAAAAGGCTATCAGGTTGGTCAAGCATGACTCCCTCTTGGTGAATCCATGTTGACTACTCCTGATAACCTTCTTTTCCTCCACATGCTTAGAGATGACATCCAGAATGATCCAGAACATCTCTAGTTCATCATACTTCTTTTAAGCTGTCTAATACAATGTCTAATACTTCTAATCAGCTGTCCAGCCTAGCCAAAGGCAGACAATATGGCAGTCAACTTTAAAAGGTACATCTGTTAAACTCCAACTTACAGACTTGTTTACTTTAAAAAAAAAAAAATTGCATCAGCCTAACTACGCATCTAAAAGCCGACTAGCTACAGACTTCTCTGGAATAGCAGTTATTGAATAATTTGTCTGTGCCTAACCTAAAAGAGAAACTATTGCACACAAATGACCAGAAGAGCCCAAATCCCAGAGGCAACTGAGCAGCTCCTACATAGGATCCTACTTGGTAGTAAGGGAGATAGATGGTGGTAAGTCTTACTTTCTGTGTGACACGAGCTATACTAAGTTATGGCGGGTACCTAAGACTACCAGTATAAATCCAAAAAAATCATCCTCTAAAGCTAAAAAAGTAATCTTTTTAAACAGTTTACAGTGTACAAACAGGTATTATATCATACACTGCAATATACACATATACACAAATACTTCATAGAAAATCCAGCCAGTTTTTCAATAGGATCAAAAGATAAATGCAGGCACCTTACCACTTCACTCAAATTTTCTTCTCCCCTCTCACACAGCTAAAGATTATTTTCCTGCTTCCTAAAATGTCTCCCTCTTTTCTAAGTCTTGCAGATAGGAAGAGGGAATAAAAAGACTGCTTGTGAAAAGGGAGAAATATGGGCAATGTATTTCTAACTTTCTCAATACAGCAAGTACTAGTACACTCGCATGACTAAATTACCTCCTTAATAGTGTAACAATGGCAACATTTTAGTATGAAAATACTTCTACAGCTTTTTATATAGTTACTATAACTGCTGTTTATATTAAACAAGAATAGTTAATTACTGTCTAAATATAAACCTTTTACGAGCAGCCAATTTTAACTGTAAAACTCAAAGCTTCATTCAAAAGGTTATCTTTATTACCCACAAAGGAGAACCCAAAACTTACACAGTAGCAGAGCCCAAAGTGCTTCTCTCAAGAAGTTGATGATAATGAAGACTTGCCATAACAAAAGCAATTTCATTTTTCTCCTGAAAAGTTAATTAAAGTAGATGTATTTTCATCTGGAAACAATTTTTTTCACAAGGGTCTTTCTGAGCAATAAAATTCATACATAAATGCTGCTGCTTATTACTCTGCCAGTTATTGTAATAACGTTAATAATGGCTTGCTTTGACACTTGGACTCCTATAACTACTACAGTCTTTTCACAAGTGTACAGAAAATATGTAAAAGATCGCAGCATTTCTGTATCATGGGGAAAGGAAGGGAAACTAGCTATGCCAGGGCAAAGGTTATCAGCAGCAATCCACAAATTGTACTTCTCCAGCTTCTACTTACCACTTTAAACCAGATACCTAAAGAGAGTCAAACGGGCCTTCCTCCCAGATACTAAATACCTAAGCATCAAGCTTACTTTCATATGTAAGGAGCTATTTGCAAAGACAGCTAACACCAGTGAGAAATACAGAGCTATTCAAAAGAAATACTGAATTTCAAAGTAAAACCCCAGATGTCTTCACCAGATTACATACTCCTGGGAAAACAATACATACCTTCTATAGGCCTATGTAGCTCAAAGAAAACTTCAGAGCTCAATGGGAGAACTAAACAGCGCCAAAGGCATCTATTTACTTCAAGAACACAGAATGCCAGAATTTCTTTTTTTTTATATATATTTTTCTTTTTCCCCTCCAAAGAAAAATGCATTTTTAAGACTTACATTGGCAATCACGTAAGTCTATAGCAAAATTATTCACTGTCAGCAGTCTATTACTGTCCTGAAAAGTGCACAACTACTGTTTTCATTTCTCTGGGTTACCAAACAGCAAATGACATCCCCTACTTTAACCTTTTTTTTTTTTTAGCTACTCCTATACTTTTGTAGTGCAAAATTACAGCTATAAAAAACATAATGACATAGATCTATCAATCACATGGTCTCTCAGTCTTTCTCTGTCCAAATACCAGAAGGCCCGCATAACCTGTCCTTGGTTGTCAAAACTACTACCATCAACAATTTCTGTTACATAACTAAGCTATGTGTAAAAAAACCAAGATGTGTGGCGTTTACGATTATTACATCCATCTACAGTTAACTGCCTAGTGTTACTCTGCCCACATAAAGACTAAGAACAGCTATTCAGAATTGTAAGCAGGAAAAATATGCTAGTATGAGGCACTCAATGCTTAACAACTTTGTGGAACTTCGTTACAATTGAACCATTTCCAAGTGCTGAAAGAGTTCTCTTTCCAGAAGAGACAGGTTAACGCACTAGCAAGACCATAGGGGCAACTCCACAGGGACACCAATCTACTAAATTTCTAAAGATACAAAAGAAATAGCTGTTCACTTATCAGAGCTTTGCATGGATTGAGTGAATCCGTGATAGGCTTATGGAGGTCAGCCAGTCTGCAGTTTTCTAGGAAACGGATACCTTTAAATAAGAGCCAAACAAATATTCCTTCTGTGGTTTTAAACAATTCCGCTGGTGATTGTGCACATTTGAGGTAGCAAGTTTCCAGCTGGAAATGAGACACGGCTTAGAGCAACTGTTCACAGGCTCCCTGAGGGAAGTTCCTTGCCAGTGCCAAATAATATAAGTCTACGTCATTAACATGGCTAGGGGAGGAAGAAAGGGCTGCAACCTCCGAATTCAGTTCAAGAGCAGAACACCTGAGAGGCTTCCACAGCACCTAACTGTACGCAACGTCAGGCAGACACCTAGGTCCCAGTATATTCAGTGCAAAGGCACAGATTCCTTTAGCATAGAAGTCTACTTTAGATGTGCTGTACTGCGCTCCGAAGACATTCAGCTCTACGCACAGCCTACAGAGACTAACACCTTAACTTAGACACTCAATACCAAGAATTTAAAATCCCCAAAAGGGCACGATTTACAGTATGCCTACTGCTGGAGCAGGATACAACTACCTGGTAATGTAGATTAAAGGAAACAACTAGCAAAGTTGCCTTGTTGGAAGTAATCACTTTGAGTGATGGAGACAGGGCAAGGCATGAGTCAGGGTAAGAAGCACGTCTCTCCTCAAACCATTCTGTTTAAAATGTCTTTAGGATATCGAACTTTGGCATGTGAAGACTGCAAAATAAATACAACTGAACACAGAAATATGATTGGTACAGTATCTCATATACTATGATACATAATTGTTGTTTTAATTAGAAGTGGATTTTTTTGAAAAGTACAGATACTCCTGCAACAGCTCTTTAGCATACAATGAATCATCAACTAGCTGTCCCTATCTGTATTTTCTTGTTGTTAGTTTAGACAAAATCTTTCAAAATCCAAAGAAAAAAGGAAGATAAAAAAACCAAACAAACCCCAAAACACTTCCAAAATCCCAAACTACAAGGCAAAAGAATCTGTTTCTCCAAGTCATAATAAAGTATTGAAACAAAAATGTCATCTTACCTTCCAAAGTCCTACTATAAGTCCTGGATTCAAACTGAAGATCTGGACAAGTTTATCAGCACCAACTGCTACACTACTTTCAGTCAGGTTAGCAAGATGGTATTCAGCAATTAAGGAACGTCGACGAGGTCTTTGAAAAGAACATACAGAATGTAGTGACAAGAATATGCCTCCTTACTTAGTCAAAAATGAAATTAGGCTGAACTTTTTCATCTGAAGTCTGACCAACAGCACATGATGAAAACGGTTTTGAAAGCATTCGGCATGCACAGCCATAAACTTTCCTTCTGAACAACTACAGCATACTAGCAGGATCTCAACACCTAACAAGAAAAGAAACAAAAGCCACCTTAGGATGGCCTAATATACTATTTAAAGATGAAAAACTTAAATGCTTACTCAATATTTCAAAATAGCCACAGAATTACTTTATAGTGTTTTTAACACTATGTGGGTACTAGATGGAATCACTGAACATTTGTCAGTATGAAGCAAGCTGCTAAGAAGGTAAATTCTTCCTCCACAGAAGCAAAATTCCAAGGAAAGGACCAAAGTGTACATATAATAAATTAAAAGCTTCTGTTAGAGGAAGCTTTCCTTTTTTAGAAAATTATTTCTAGATTTTGCCTGTAATTAAAGCAGTTTAGCTCCATAACAGGCATTCTTATTGGCTAATGATGCATTAAAAAGAGCAGAAGCAGTCTGTATTACCTATTCAGAATGGAGAAATAACTCTAAAACCCTTCGCAGACTTAGGCTCTTGTTATATTCAAACTGTTCCCAGGATTCCCAATAGTAGCACAGTAGTATCACCTACCGCTACACGCTGCTAGGAAAACGGCAACCAACAGGAACTTTGTCATATTACCTTGAACTGTAAGATTTGGGGCAGGGATGGGACATCAACCCTTTCATCTTTAAGTCAAGCAGACTGTTATAAATACATGGACTTCCCCCAAGTCCCTGCACTAGCTTCTTAAAAATCTTAACATTCTGAGTAATGTTCTGATTTTTGTGAAATCATTACCTTCATGTATATTCACAAGCTCTAACAACTTGCAATTCTGTGAAATAAACACATAGCCCGCCTGCAAGTTTTCTTTTACTATTTTCTACATGTAAGTCATCATCTTGGCAAAACAACTACACTTCCCGCCTAATTCGACTGCAAGACTTGTTTAGGTCACTTTACACAAAAGGTTTCTCTTGATTTTTATTTTTTTTTAATAGGGAAATACTTTGCTTCTGCTTGAGGAACCATGTTTTTTGCAGGTGAACAACAAATCTCTCTTTTCAGAGCTCTGTTGCTAGGGGTTCTGTGTAAGAAGCATGTAGTTGATACTGCATATACTAAGACTGCACATAAGACACAGACATATGGAAAACTCCTTGACAGCAACCAAATACTTACATACCTCAAATACACACTTTTAACTGAAACATCTTTTCTCAGAATATAACACTAGAAAAATACTGTACATGCTTAAGTTACAAAAAAACAGTTATCCCATACCGTGCTGCAGACCATTTTTTATATGCATGTACTTATATTGTACACACAGGCAAACACCCAGTTCCCTAAATTCACATACACACTTATCAGATAGAAAAAAATGTTAGTAACAGATTACCTGATTGTAACCACATGAACATTGATGAACTGTTCCAATCTAAATGTCTCGCATTAAATTCTCCCAGATTACATGTTTGTTTCACGCTCATTTGTATCTATCCCTTAGATTCAGCTTTCCAAAGCAGGACCTAGCACTCTGTACCTTGCACGCCAGTAGCTACATTAAGCTATGAATTAATGTCATAGCTTGCATGGATTATAGTTATTTCTTGCTGAAAAGCTCTACCAACGAAGAGAAAGACATAGGCTTTCGAAGAAATACTACAGAGAGGCTCCCTAAGAAAGAATTAACTTGTTAAGTCAAACAAAGGTCAGATAGCTCCTACAGACATGTTATCAACTAGTTACACCAAAAATCCCTCAAAAATCTTACATTAAAACTCACCCATTCTTGCTGGGAGCTCTGCTTTGGTCAGGAAGCAATGGTATAACTCCGAATAGTTTTAGGGTTGACAGGATGTCTAAGCATGGCCAATTGGTACTATACCAAAGTATAGTAAGAGATGTGTCCTTAAATGACAAGTTTGCCTTCTCCATTACACGTTCCTTTCCATTTTTGTCCTTTAGAACAATTATCCAACTCAAGCCAGAGGCTCTGTTATTTAGGAATTGAGAGGGGGGAGAGGTGTTTAAAAAAAAAGATTCTCAAAGTGACAAAACTTTAACTATGTTTCCAACAGAAATTTTACGTTTCTGCTAATTGCTACTTTACTAACAGTTTCTCAGACTAGGTCATTTATAGGCTATCATCGTATCTTCCCATTATGATATACATTTTATATCATTTTTACAGCTCTATTTCCATATCCCCCCAGCATTTCCAAAGACATTAATATTCTCTACATCATTCTCGAGTAAACATCTTCTGTGACAAGGCACTGCTTACTTCATAGTTTCTTTGATTTTACATGGAAGACCTGTATAAGGATCTACAGGTTTAACAAGTCGCGTTACTCTAGTTTTGACAGCAGCTATTTGTTTGAAGATGTATTCTTTCTTCCAGTACCCAGGCTTTCTATCATGTAGAGCAGCACAGCCCAAGGAAATAGTTTCTGTTTGCTCAGACTTCATTTTCCAAATCGTCTTTTTTGGTTGAAAACAACTGGAATAGATTTTCAGCCAGATTCCACTGAAAATGAAAATAGAATAAAGAGGAAAACCACATAAATTTCAAGAATATTTACTTAAGTATTCTTATATGCACGTCTCAGCTACCACTGAGCATAACGTTAGCAGAAAAATATGAAGTCCTAGATTATCAGCAAACCGGGTTTGATCTAAATGTAAGTTCATAGAAGATCAGGAACTGTAGCCTCCAAGGTACTAGTCAAGAAAACGCAAAGGCACAGTTGTACACTTTCCCCCATTTTGAAACATGAAGGCTCAGGAACAAAAGATACTAGATATTAGCATTTCTCACGGGCTTCCTACATTACCTCAAGGAATATGGAATCTCTGAATACATTTCTTGTCTGGGTTATACATATCAAATGATATCCACTTATGACTTTCTGCTCTACCACAGTCAAAAAAACAAAACACCCCAAAAATACCTAAACCAAAACAAAAAAAAAAAACCTTATTCAGTTAGTTCTTACAATATGCCAGTAAGGTTGATAAACACCTCAACTACATAGAGAAAATTTGATTAGTGCTCTAGAAAGTAGGATCATCAGATATTCGGAACTTCCTAGTGTTTCACAGCTCTCAGTAGCACAGTAGAGTATGTGGTTTTTTAAAAGCCTGCCTTCCCCTTATGCTGCTACTTCCTGCAGAGATACTGAAGCAGATTTAAAGACAAAAAAAAACCCAACAGTACATATCTGAGAGAAAACAAAGACAAGGTAAGTCTTGTCTGTCTTTCTGAAAGTATAGGATCCAGGATGAAGCTCAGAGACAGCATAACCATACTCAGCAAAAGATACTAGATATTAGCATTTCTCACGGGCTTCCTACATTACCTCAAGGAATATGGAATCTCTGAATACATTTCTTGTCTGGGTTATACATATCAAATGATATCCACTTATGACTTTCTGCTCTACCACAGTCAAAAAAACAAAACACCCCAAAAATACCTAAACCAAAACAAAAAAAAACCTTATTCAGTTAGTTCTTACAATATGCCAGTAAGGTTGATAAACACCTCAACTACATAGAGAAAATTTGATTAGTGCTCTAGAAAGTAGGATCATCAGATATTCGGAACTTCCTAGTGTTTCACAGCTCTCAGTAGCACAGTAGAGTATGTGGTTTTTTAAAAGCCTGCCTTCCCCTTATGCTGCTACTTCCTGCAGAGATACTGAAGCAGATTTAAAGACAAAAAAAAACCCAACAGTACATATCTGAGAAAAAAAAAAAGACAAAAAAACCCCCAACAGTACATATCTGAGAGAAAGCTATCATGAGAAAACAAAGACAAGGTAAGTCTTGTCTGTCTTTCTGAAAGTATAGGATCCAGGATGAAGCTCAGAGACAGCATAACCATACTCAGCAACTTAAGTGAAAACTGATTAAGGTAAAGCAGTTCTTTTGAAAATTCCACTCCAGAACAATGATGCATCCTCCTCACACAAAATCAACTAGTGGAAAAAGTGTTTTAGTACCTCTTACTCAACAAAGACAATCTGGACTCCTCAAGTTTCTCACCCAGATCCAGCTGAAAGTGGGGCATAGAAGGACAACTAGAATCACCTATGTTTGGTGGTGGTACCACTCTCACGTCAATCCCTTCTGCACCCTCTTTTGAAAAGCCCAGAGAAGAGATGTCTTTTTGAAGAGATCAAAGAAACATGCAACAGGAACGATGAGTTCACCGCTTTCCTGTTAGGAAAAATATGAGCTCACTACTCCGCCCCTCACACCCCAGGATGTCTAGGACAGTTCAGGGAATATTGAGTACAAGAAGTTAAAAGATTTCAAATGACAATTTGTGAATAAAGGTTTCCACTAGGTTTTCTAATTTTAAAGTGCTAGTCACACAGTCTGCATAACTGCACTACAGAAAATTAATAGCAACAGAAACAAATTCTCAAGAGGTCCTCTACCATTTATCAGCATGATTACCTTTACCAGTCCTCACTTATCCCCAGGCAAACATACACTAACGTGCTTTGTAATGCATTTTTCCCCTTCTTAAAGCATTCAAGGACTGAATCCATCCCACACTGCCTCTCACCAATGAACACCACTCTCACTTCATCAGTTGCTGAGAGTAAGGCCCCACATGCCACAAGCGAGGCTCTTTGTTACTGATGCAAATGCACTCAGGAATTTTGCAAAAAACCTTCCAGCCTGCTGCTCTGCAGATACAGATATACGTACAATCTCCCACTGCCATTTTTTGAGTCAAAGCATACACATACATACACATACATACACATGCACATGCATATGCATACACATCTCCCACTGCCATTTTTTGAGTCAAAGCTGTTTAATACATACACATCCATAAGCTTCTGTGAGTGGTAAAGGGGGGGTTCACAGCATACATACACATCCATAAGCTTCTGTGAGTGGGAAAGCGGGGGTTCACAGTCAACATGAGCTTCCAACTTTCCTTTCACTAAAAACTTTGGGGAGAGGTGCAGAACATGAAGAACAATCCCATAAGTAAAACAAATATTTAAGATATTTCAATTTTGAGAGCAGAAAATAAAAGACAACCCAGTTATCACATAGTACAAAACATTTCTGATGGAGGGAGGAAATTCCTATTTAATGCCAAAGCAGCAGAAAATAAAAGACAACCCAGTTATCACGTAGTACAAAACATTTCTGATGGAGGAAGGAAATTCCTATTTAACGCCAAAGAGGCTAAGAACTGTGGGACGATGAAAGCAGAGGAGATATGTCCTTGACACACCATCATCAGGGGAAATCGAGCCATGTATTATTCAACTGGTCTTATTCAGCCTAAAAAGTCCAGTAAGACATCCTCCTATAACCCTCTCCTGCTAACGAGAAACCCCTTCCCAAGACAGACATCCTTTCTTTCATGCAGCTGGCTGCATGATGCTGAAAAGACACGGGTCAGTAGTAGGCATTTCTGCATTTTGAAGGTACAGCCCTAGACAATGCAAGTTTAATGAAGGCAGGCTGGCCACCAATACCCACCACCCTCCTCCTCACTCTCAGTTACATATTGCTTCTTCCTCTCCCAAAACAGCATTGAACAAGCAGATGAGAAATCAGTTCAAGAAGCTCAAAAATTCAGTCAGGGGAGGGAGGCGGAGGAGAAAAAACAGGAGACTTGAAATCACAAGTGTTTAGGGAGGTATCACTGCCTCTTCATCCTCAACGTCTGAAGAATTCAGGGCAGAGAAATCAAAAAGGCATCCAACAGGGAAGCACACATTTGCCTCTTTCACAGCAGAATACATGCCTCTTGCCTCAAAGTGTTAAGCGTAATAGTCATCTCGAGGCCTCTTATTGGACCTTGTTGCAACAAGCCAACCCAACCTCCTACTGCTAACTCAAATGCCAGAATCAGACACGCACCATTTGTCAGTCATCACTTGACCACAATGACAAAAAGATCCAGGCAAGGCAAAAAGATCTTCCCCTGTTGCTCTGGCTTCTCACTTCCTCTTATGCAAGCACTTTCTGCTGGTGATCAAAATCCTCAGGCTTTCAGACCGACCATTTATGTGAGCTTCCCACACTGCATGACAGGAAGGCTGGAATAATACCACATGCTGGGGCAAGGGTGGTGCAGAAAGAGAGGTCAGAAATATTTCCTTGCCTTCAACTGTTATATTGAAGGCACCAGTCCAAAGGAACTGTTAAAGCGCAGACATTATTTGAAGAGCCCAAAGACAAAGCACTGCATTAGGCAGCACAGATATATCACGATGAAAGACGGATGGTCCTGTTGCATCCAGGGGAGCATCCTGTACATCCAGGACAACAGAAATATCCTCAAAAAGATACTCTGCCTAAAAACCAAGATCAGATTTGTCACAGATATATGAAGGGACTTAATGAAAACTTCTGTTAATTCACCACGAGATTCAGGGACTCAGGAAGGTCCATGGAAATCCAGTGAGAAAAAGTGACCTGGTCACACTGAACCAGTCAGTCTCCTAGGTAAGGGAAAGTATCTCTTCCCCAAATCCGTTTGTGCACACAGAGTAATCTCTGTCAGGATTAGAAAATGGAAGCAGACATTGCTGAGATGGAGACAGATGAATCAGCTTCCTTGAGCAGCCACAATGATTTTATCTTACCTTACTATCCTGAAGTGGAAAATGCATATCGAGACGTATAATTTGTGTCAGCTATGGAATTTTTATCTACATGCACCTGCTGACAGCCTCAAAAAAATAGATCTGGATTATGGCCTTCCCTTTAAATTCATCCGTTCTAAAGGTGTCAATACCAATGTTAACTGATTCACTGCACAAGTTTTGGCAAATAAGTGAGAAATGGATGAATACCAGATGCAGCAACTTATAGGAAGACATTTTCTCATTTAAACTACACTAATGCAGCAGAATCCGAGAGGGAAAAAAAAGGATACACAGACATCCTAGTTATCACATACCAACCAGGGTCTCTCCTCTTCATCCTTTCACAAAATTATCATGATTGGTAGGAGCAATTTGTGAACTCTTTTTTGTAAGCGATTGCTTATACAAAGTGTCAGCATTTATCTTCGCCCTTTTAGTTTTCGTTTATAAGTCACCAAAATTTGACAGAAGGAGCAACAGATAAAACCCACTACTGAATCACTTGACTGAATCAAACCTTCTGCAAAAACCATGAAAGAGCTAAGTAAGTAGAACTCAAAAATCATGAAAGCTATGACAATTCTACAAAGCTACTAGCTACACACCAACAAGGATTGCCTGAACCAAAAAGCCTGTGCAGGTGCCTGTGAATACAAACAAATATATGCAAATTTTACAACAAAATAAATGCTAATAGCAACATTTCAAAACACTGTATTTAGTTTTCGCCTCATAACTCCCATTAAACTTAACAGGGCTTGCACAGCTAGAATTCCATACAACATATTGTACTGTGAGCTACACAGTACATTTTCAGCAGAGTAACTGCCAGTACGTACATGCATCAGTGCTCTGGCAACGGTGAAACTAAATTAGAAAGAGTCATAACTCAGGTAGACTCAACTGCCACACGATTAAGACTAGCACTTACGCTTCCCTCTTCCTTACTTGTCATTCGCCAGTTGATAGAAGTGCTTATTCACACAACCAACAGACAACAGGGACACAGCATCCAAATAGGAAAATATCTTCACCAGCATTTCTGATGGCAGGCTGGAAAGCAAGAGAAAGAGAAATACCATTAGACTTGCCTGCAAACTCCAGAAATGGCAAAGAATTTTAATTCCAAACCAAAGCAAAACAAAAGAGATGGAAACTATCAGCTTGTAAATACACAAATCAAAATTCATCTGAAGAGTTAATTTGCAGAGTTTGGGTTCTGATTTGTCCCTCTGATAGAAGACATTTGCTTAAATCAATTCACCACAACCTATTCAAGTGCCACAGCACAATTACATGCAAAGTTATAGGTTTGCATTTTCACTAAACTTTAACCCGGTTTGACATGATACTACCTCATTCAACTTCAGTTTCTCACTGTTCGTATCCTGATTTTAACACTTAGTCCATCACCACCAGCATTTGCCAGAACTGCATATACTCATGCTCCCCCCGGCTGTGGTGGCAGGTCTCGGGACGCACCAGGACAGAAATGTCCTAGTCAAACAGTGAGACCACACTCTACCTCATTAAAATCTTCAAACCATGTGTGCTCCTGGGTCTCATACACTTTTCCCTTATGTCAAGAGAAAGATGTGAACTTCAAAATAAGAGCTGAGTGGCATCTTGAGAACATTAATGTTTCTGTGCATCTGTAAGGCTGCCTGAAATGCAGCAACTTCCTATATAGGAAGACATTTTCTCATTTAAATTACACTAATGCAGCAGAATCTGAGGAAAAAAAAAAGTATACCCAGACGTATCCTTTTGAAATTCAGGTGCCAGCCTAAGTACAAGCACCACAGCATCACCTGGAAATGAGCCGCCACCATGATTTTTGTATTAACAGATAGAAACCGCATACCTATCAAGCAGTATCTGGTAACTGCACAGAGTTTAAAAAAAAATAATAATAATACATTTTATACTCTAACTTTCCGGAGCATGAGAGTATGGTAAAATCAAAATCACCACTGAAAATACAAGTTGCTGTGAAAGTCAGCACCTCAGCTGTATCTCTTGTCCATTTAGTATGTGTCAGCTGCAACACTTGCTGATTTTTAGTACTTTATTGCAGAAGCACATAGCTTTCAAGCGCAGGATGACAATAACGCCAGTACTTGGTATACTTTGTATTAAAACTCAGAATCTTAGTTGCACTAAGAATCTAAGTTACGCTCTTAAAAGGCTGCAAGTTAGCTAAATATGCTTGATCCAGAATTCTCACAGTAGTTTTTACAACCATACTATTTTTCCTTTGAAAGACGCTGAGAGAAAGGACTTTTTTTTTTTTTTCCTTTTTTTCTCTCCTGTCTTTCACATCAAACTAATCATAAGAGATTGAACTGGCCATCCAATGGAAAACAGAGAAATAACTACACAGGAAGCCACAAAATGTATAAAACGAAGAAAATGAATTAATCTTTAATGTAACTTGTTCTTAGAAATTTTTTGTAGAAAGGTAACTAATTTTCAAAAAAGAAAACAACTCACGATTATATTGAAAGCACCCTTTCATTGTCAAACAGGAAGGGAAACATTCACCTTGCGGCAAATAAGCAGCAGCCACTTTATTCCTCTCCCCCATCCTAAGTCTCTCCACACAAAGCAAGAGAAACATCAAGAGAAACATCCAAAGTTTAATTCCAAACTGGCTTTTATTGAAGTAATACAGCACCAATTTTTATTCTCAAGGAACAACACAGCCCATGATTTACCAAGGAGTTGCTGAAGGCTTCATAGGACTTGGAAAACCTACATCCTTCACATGAACTTAGAAAAGGAGGTGAGGGAGAACCACACCAGAAAACATTAGAAGGTCAACATAGGATCAGAAAGTAGGCCAGGAAAGTAAATCTTTTCTTTTCAACTCAGAACATCTGACATGGAAATCACCAAGGTATGAACATAATAACTGTAAGCAGTCAACAGATGGTTTATAGTCTGCAAGGGGTCTTCCACTCTTACTCCTAAGGACATACTCACCTCTCAATGCTCAAATTAGGTTTTGGTTTTACAGAAGGTGCCAAATACAGACTTTTAATTCCAGCATGTATAGTTTCAGAACGTTCCCCAGGCCTGGCAGCAAAGCTCCTTGACCTATTTCTAAAAAGGAAAAGCTGTTAGGAGTCACATTATCATGAAATGGAGAAATACAGGTATTGTGCACACCTAGACACCACGTCTCAACTGAGACAGGACTCGGGGGATACATCACATGGTAACTCATTAACATGAGTTCACAAATTTGAACAATTATCACGAAGTTAAAATACTTGACATCAAGAAGACGTCAGATTTAAACTCACAGGTGCCTCTCCTACGATTAATCTCTCTTAGTAGTCAGAAGGGAATAGTATCGCACCACCAGATCAGTTTGAATCCAGCAGAGATTTATCAATGTTAGACAGCTGCACCACTGTGCCACCACATAATCAAGCTCCACATAGGTCCCTGCAGTAAGTTAAACTCATTGATCAATCTTCTGTTTTGCAACATTATTCTAGAGACTTTTTGAACCATTCAACTTCGCTAAGCTATTAAAAGACATCAAATAAAACAACACCTTGAAACATTCTCAAAAACTGACAAGGCTCAAAAAGAATTCACTTGACTAAACAACAGAATCATATTTGAAACAAAGTTACAGTCTCATTTCAGATTTTCCCCTGCTAAAACACTTGCAAAACTGCAAGGTAAGTGTTATCTCAATAGGCAAGATGGGTATCAATGCTTTTATTGTGATAACAATTTGGACAGAAATTAGTTTCTTTTAGTAAAGAAGGCAACTTTGTGTATTTCCAACACAAATAAATTCTTACAATCCAACTGGTCACACACTTTTTCCAAGTTTTCTGATAGTAAGAACTTTGCAAGCTGTAATTACAAATACTATCATTAAACCACATAGAAATACTCAGATGGACTTTCAGTCTTAATCAAATCCTCACAGATTAAACCCACTGATGCCACTGAGCAGGCAGAGCTCCCCATACACCCTGTAGCGATGGTTTGTATTGCCAGCTGAGTTTCCAACACCTGGTCAATCCAGCTCTGGGTTTCTAAGCAACCAACTGATGTTGGGGGGAAAAAAAAAAAAAAAAAAAAAAAAAGCAGTCTAATTTTGAAGTACATAGGTGCCACACACATTTAATGCACAGTGTATTTAATACATTTAATGCTACAAAAAAAGTAACTGTACATCAAATACACCCTGAAGGTCAAGTAAATGTTTTACTCATGTATTACTATCAAGAAGTACATTTAGATGATGAGATGAAGATGTAACAAACTGCATTTTTCAAAAGCCATTAAAGGCATTTCAAGATAGGAGTTGTGTTCCACAGCAGCAGAACTACCACTTCTGCATCTTTCTGGGCAGCACGCCCCAGGTCATTCCGCCCTGTATCTCTGCCGAAGGCACAAGGACACCTCGTTTGGGCATACCCTAAGTGACGTACCTACACAGACTCCAGGGACAGGAGTAATTCAGATCAGGAGCTGCACCCTGGATTTCACAACATGCTTTACCTGGTACAAACATAACATGGATTGCCTGTATTCAGTCCTTCTTGTTCTCTTTTTAACCACTCCTTGCATCCCCTTCTTCTTCACCCCAGGAAGGAATTCCTGAATTAAGAGAAATGCTGCCTACACACGCCTTGAAAATTTCAATAATAGTATCTACCACTTTTGTAAGCTTCAATTCAAAACAAGCACTGAATTTTTGCATCTTCCAAAACAAAACTATTATCAGGGCTGAAGAAACAACAGCAAATCCATTGCATAAACTATTTTTGGAGTATTGTCTGCTAAGATTTGAAATCAACAGCAAATCCATTGCATAAACTATTTTTTGAGTATTGTCTGCTAAGATCTGAAACTAGCATTAACAAATCTTTTTGCACTGCATTGACAAAGCTTGCCTGGCCAAGTTAAAAATCGATGACAGCCGCTACTCCTGCTCTTTAGAGACTTCTAGTAACAACTGAGATGATCTTGCTTAGAGGCACAACAACCTCAATTGCTATTTCATTAGCTTTCAACTTGTGGGACTGAGGTTTGTAGCAGTATTTTCATTTTCATACCCTGTAGTACTTGCAACACGGCTATTGCTTTTTTGCTGGTCAGGGAACAAATCTATTTCAAAGAGTGTATAGAAAGTTGTAAGCAGTGACAAAACCTGTCTCCTTCACCAAATGTTAAAGCATACCTGGCGATAAACAGAAATTACAGTAATGTTTTGATATCTTTCTTTTTTCTTCACCTAACAACTCCAAAGACTTTTAAAAAGGTGGGTATTATCCATTAATTCACAGGTTAAAAAACCAAGGGGATGAAACAGCAATGAAACCCAAGGTTGTACAAATGGGTTAGCAGAAAATCCCGCTTTCTGAACTTTGCTTCTAGGATTGGTGCTTTACATTTTTGGAAGCTGAACCTTGCACTGTAAGAATTAAGCTAATCACACCTTCCACAACGAAATCCTCCTGCTTATCACAAAGCCCTAGCTACCCTGAGCACAGACCCGTTAGCCACTAAGCTAGCTCGTACTCTGTAGACAGGCTACCACTTCTTACACCATCTCCTCCAAGCTCAAGCATGTACCCAAGTTTAAGCCTCACTCCGCAGACAGAAAACAGGGTGTTAAACCTCAGCCTCCTGCACACCTGGAAATGCCTGTGTCTCCTACCGCAAGGCCTGTCACCTCTACAAAGCCATCGCCCCAAAGCTAGGGGGAGGGAGAGGAGACCACCATGGCCATGAGGGACCCGACCTGTGGCAAGTTCAGAGCTGGAAACCAGAGCCGTGAGGCGGGTGGAAGGGGTTTCCCAGAGAAGCAATGACAGTGAAGGGAAAACAACAAACCACCCTCGGCGGACTGGGTGAAAAAAGACGAGCAGGCGGCTCCGAGGCGGCAGAGCCCTGCTCGACGCCGCCCCGGCGGCCTCTCCTCACACCGGGCGCGGAGACCGTTACCTGGGCCCCGCGGCT